GCAGGCAACCTCTTGAGAAATGCTCCTCGGAGAAAAAAACATGGTTTATGGCCAGCAGGAAGAAGAGCAAGCATATTTGACATGAGTTTCGATGGTTTCATGTCACCGGACAAAGGAAGGTTAGAGATTGCTTCATATCTTTGGAAATCATCGAGAGCAAACAACTTCAGCAATCGCCTCTTTAAAGCTTTGTAGGGCTCGGTGGGGGGAGAACATTTGATGAGATCCAGAACCTGGTTTGCAGTCGCCTGGTTGAACGATGAGATGCAGTAGTAGAACTTGGTGGAACTGACAGTTACTCCCTTGAGTGTGAACTGGGCCTCAACCTGGACGAACCAGGCCTCCGCAGAATCTAGTCAGAAGGATGGAACTTTCACTGAAACTGTATTTAAAAGGTCTAGAGAGCTGGGTTCAGCTTGGACCAGGACATTATCACCTTCTTTAGGCATTATCACTGGAGCGTGTAGCTAATTTAGGTCTATAGCGGCAAGAATAAACAGTCTATTTGCCTAAAGAAAACAAAATAGGGGTCACCAATTAGCTAGGCTCAGTTTTACAAGACTACGAGTCTAAATAAAAACTTTATTAACTGATAAATATCTTATTTTGAAAATTTAAAAAAAAGAAAATTGTATTTAGATGGTGATGTGTCAGGAATAACGCCCAGCTTGCTTTGTCTTCATATCCGGCTCCAGACTAGATCGTCTTCTGCCACATGGACATGATTAATTTTCCAGCAATTTAAACAAGAAATTTCTCACATTTATCATAAAATCTTTATTGTAAGAACTAAAAAACATTAATATTTTGATTTCTCAAAGTCATAATGATATTATATTTATAACAGAACAATATGTTTTTAGTTTCTATTTTATTTATATTTTGCCCTATCAAAAATAATTATAAAAGTATCCCCAATGCACAATATCTTTTCAACCTCAGACTGATCAATATTGAATGAGAATGAACATTGTTTGATAGCTTCAGAAGTGTTTAATTTGTTCTTTATTTAATTCATTGAGGGTTGCCCAGCAGGAGAAAAGTTTTATTCCTGAAAATTTGATTAGAAATTTTAAAATTAAATTAAAAGTTTATTTTTTTCCTTTGCCTGCTTTCTCTCAAGCAGAACGGACGGACCTACTGTGGTAATATGGATAATCTAGAAGATTATATATATATAGTGTATATATACATATATATGCACCTACATATGAACATTGATATGATATCTCGCCACTCTCAACAAAAAGAATAAAGTAATAAAGCTCAGTGCACAAAGAACCTTACTAGTTGAAAGACTTATGATTTTAATGTGATCTTTTCTACCTTAGGTCAGTGCAGCTCTCAACTCTTACCGATTCATAACTCAGACTATTAACTTAACATAGCCTGATAAATATATTTAACTCTTTATAGCTAGTTATAAATATCTAGCTCAGCATAGACAGACTGGAATATATAGTTCTGCATAGCTAAATACAATACATAGCTCCGCAAAGCTAAATAAGATAGCTTTATAAAGTTAAGCAAGACAAATAGCTTAGTAAAGCTATATTTAAAAATAACCAATTCTAGATAGTTCACAATTATATTAATAGCTAAGTAACTAAAATACCACAAAGGTTGCTAAAGCTTTATTATAAATAAAGATGTCTGGATTCTTTAAATATGTTGATCACTGTCCAGATGTTGCTGGATCTCCTCCAGACGATATAATGGAAGGAGACGGTGATTGTGGATTAGAGTTAGAGGCATTGTTTATCTCTAATAACTCCGCTGAGATAACAAATGCACCCATTGAGATGATTACTGTTTCAGCCTCAGAAGATGAACCTGAGGATTTAGGAGCAGACTTCCCGCCCTCTCCACTGCAGAGATATCTGAGAGTTCTGGAGATGAAGGGGAAGATGATGTGGATGACAGGAAGGATGACCTGGTGGAAGGGGAGTCAGAGGGAAGGAAGTTCCAGCAGGGGGATGGCAAAGCTGTTCCCATAGATGTCCATGGCCTTGAGGATGCTGTTGAGGAAGATGATGAGTTCACCAGGATGTGGAGGAAGCTGGGCCAACAACCAGACAGGGGACAGGTGAACCTGGTCAAGGAGAACAGGCGGAAGATACAGAACCGGATGGAAGTGATTTGGCAGGAACTACGTCTGGTAATCATAGAAACATTCAAGAATCATGGTAGAATGGTCTATAGTGAGGAGGAACATCAGCTCAAGCAAGAACTAGCGCTTGTCACAAATATGTCCCTCATCATGGAGCAGCGGTTGGAGCTGTTACAACTCCTTGCCATGGGAGTCGAACTAGGACCAGAATATTAATCTCCTGAAATAAATAATATAGAATTGGTAAACTCAGATTAATAAATATGAACTTAGAGAGTTAATTATTGCATTAAATTCTGTCTGTAGATCAAATAAAACTTGGGATTTACTACACTACTATGCAGTCCCAGAATTGCAGCTGGGGAAGCGCCATGTTTAGTTACGCATCTGGTATCCTACAGGGGAAGCAAGAATTGTACATAGATTAAAACAACACTTCATCTTCAGCTTGGTTCACTGAAAGAGGAGTTTAACCCCTCGTGGGAATACAAGTCATGCACAACCATCCCGGTTTTTACTCAACCAGATGTGAGGACTGTACTGCCATGGAAGATACCTCTCAATGGAGCTTTCAGGGATCACAACTCCCCATTTTCCATATGGGGTGCAGTGATGGGTAAATTCCTTATTTCCCCTAACTGGGAAACAGTTTAGAATGAAGGAACACAGGGAGAAATCCCCTATACCCTTCTTCCTACAAACCTTCTTATCTCTCTCCTACCAGCTCCACAACTCGATGTTAAAAGAACTATTTGGAAAGGCCCAAAAGTGTAAAAAAAAGAAACAAGAAGCAAGAAGAAAAAATAAATTGAACAGAAAAAGTGGAAGGGAAATTTCTTGACAGTAGAGACGGGTGCTTAAAGCAAGATAAACAAGAAAGAAGAAGAAAACTTTGAACAGGAAAAATTAGAAGGGGATTTACACAGGATGGCAGACGTCCCATCCCCCCCTCTATGTCCTATTCTAGATAAAAAAAAACTGGAAAATGTGTAAAATGCCCCCCTCACCCCTCTCCCCCTCCATCAAGAAAAGCTAGGAATGCAGGAGCTGACTCGACACAGTATCATGACTGAAGCAAAATTTAAATATAAACAAGGGGGAGAGTAACCTTGCCACTCTCAATATATAGAATATAGATACAATGGTCCAAAAAATAGTTCTGACTCTGCAATTTGGCTAGCTGCAGAAAACATCCAAAAAATTCATTTATTTTTATTTTCAAAAACAGGAAATATAGAAGTCTCAAAATGTTTCCATCTGATATTGAAATTTAAAACTATTGTAAAATTTAATTAAGATAAATTATTAAAGTTAAAAAATTAAAAGTTTTTAAAATCATACATCAGGTAAAGCTTTGAGGGTAGGGTATCAATTTTAATATTTCCTATTTTAATTTTTCCTTTAACTGTCTTCGTGTGCCATTTACATGTGCAATATTAGAAATGGGCAATGTCCACTGTATTAAAAATGTATTTAAAAATCCTTTCTTGTTTTATTATTGATAATTGATCATTTTAATACATTTAGGATGCTTTCTTATTATCATTATCTACCCATTTCAAGAACTTGGTGTGTATATGAGACCAGGAAAAATTTCATGTTATTCAAATAATGTCATGTTATTCATATAATAGGAGCTTATTAACTCTTTTCTTGTAACCTCCTTCCTCCTCCCCCAAAAGGGATAAATATGGTTTAAATAAAAATATGGCTACAAGGTTATTAGAATTTTCTCTATGCAATCAATCAAAACAAAATGGAATTCTTATTAGTTTTTTCAATTTTATTTCTGTAATTTTGTTTCCTAAAAGGTCTGACAGACGTTTTTTTATGCCCATGAACAACTTTGGGAACTTTAGAGCTTAACCCTACTAAACCAAACAAAGATAAAAATATACCCCTGGTGTGAGATAAAAATTGACAGTTTGCAGAATAATTTTTTCCCATGGAATTTATTGAGAATATGGGTTTGCTCTAGCCTTTCCAACTTTTACTTGAGTGCAATTGCAGGCCCTGTAATTTCCTCCCAATTCAGCTTTATTGCACGCAATACAAGAATATGTAATTTGACACAATGTAATTCCAAATGGAAACCTTATATTAACCAGAGACTTTTAGCTGGTGACAACTAATTCTGAGTAGCTTATATATGGTAGATGTTTATTTATTTAATTCAAGAAAGGTTTAGCATTTAGTTCAGGAACTGAAGCCTTAGGATAGAGTATTATTATGTCTAAATCTGAAAAATGGGAAGCTTGATTTCATTCCTAATACTGTTTACCCTGCCTTTTCCCTGCACTTAAGCAAATTTACAGGAAATCTGAATTTTAACTATTAAAGTCAATCCACTCAACATAGAATCTTAAAACCAAGCAGAGCAAAGAACATTCCCCTGGATCTCCCAAGTTCCCCCCCATAAAAACTTGAGGCAAATCAGCCCAGGGGTTTCTTAGTTATGATTGGACAAAACAAGTAAACAGAGTTTACAACTTTAAATGTATAGATCTATGCAAACAACAATTTTTTTGAATTTTTAACTTAACTGACATCATAACTTCCTTATTTAAGAACATTTATCTTTCAAATGTAAAATACTTATACATAAAAATGAATTGAAATTTAGAGATTAAACCTGACAAAAAAGATAAAATTGGAGAGGAAACTGAGAAAGAAAAAACAAACTCTATTGCAAAACAAAACATATTTCCAGGAAAGACATAATAATTTACAGAATATTTGAAAAAGATCAGTTTAAAATCTTTGTTTAGGAATGCGAAACAAACATTGTGTAGCTGAATGCCAGCAATATCTGAAAGGTATTTTCAACATTAACTAAAGGTAACATGGAAACACCTCAACACAGAAATGACTCAACATGAAAATGGATCAAAAACTTTTTTTGAGGAATTTCCGTTTTTTTTTAGAAATTCAAGGAAATCCATCAAAAGTTGAGAATTGTTGAGGGATTTCCGAATATTTTGTATCCATCCTAATATTTATAGTTAAATGGTTCCCTCTTTTTTTAATCAATTTCCTCATTTTTTTAGGTACGTCTGGAACCGGATCAAAAATATGAGGAAATGAACCTAAAATTTGAGGAAACCATTCAACAAATTGAGATTTTTAACCCTATTCCCGCTGGGGGGGGGGGGGTCAATTTGACCCCCCCCTGTAGTTATTTTTACATAACTCAAAAAGTATTGGTCTGAGTCTGTTGAAATTTTCTGACTTTTCTTACATACCCAAAGCCCTCCCTTTAGGCCTAAAACCGGGCTTTAATACTAACTGCCTGAGTCCTCAGGCACACTGCCTGAATGACTGCTCTTGCCTGTAGCAAACTAAATCTTTGTTTTGACCCACTTTCACTTGTCAGATTTTGATAAAATTTAGCTTTTTGGAAAGCCTATGACATAAGAAACGGATTGCACAAGTTTTGCGAAAAAAAAATTGCAAATTTTTCGCAAATAACCTGTCAAAGGAAACAGACCTAAAATTTGAGAAAACGTATCAACAAACTGAGTATTTTAAATTTTTGAAAAAATATGAGGAATCGGACCTAAAATATGAGGAAACCAATCAAAAATATGAGGAAGTCCCTCAAAAATATTTGAATAAAGTAAAGGGGAAACGGATATACAATTCTGGCAAATTGATCAAAAAAGAGGAAACTCATAAAATTTGAATTTAGAGGGATTTCCAAAAAATTTGAAGAAATCGTGGAAACACCTCAAAAAAACCTACTTTTGAGGGGTTTCCGCTTATTTATGATCTGTTACCATGTTGAGGGGTTTTCGTATTGAGGCCTTTTCATTTCACTGTAACTAAAATTGCGCTTTTAGATCAGCCTGCATCTAACAAGACTTTGTGTGGGTTAAATGCAGAACTTCGAGGTAGAATAATTTTCAGGAGAACAAACTCTTATTTTCTAATCCCTTTATAGTGGAGCTACATCATTTGCTCTTTACCCATTTACTCTATGGCCATTTGCTCTTTAGCCCATAGATCATGACATCTGCTCTATATGTCAATTGCTCTAAATTACTATTCACATCATTTGCTCTATAAAATCATCCCACCCTCAACCATCAAGCATTTGATGTATTCTGCAGTAAACTGCATTACACTATCCCAAGTCTTTAGTTAAGAGTAATTTGGTCAAAGAAGAGGTCTTCTGTCCCCCCAAGTCTGAGGAGAGGCCTCCCATGAACCCTCAGTCTAAAAATAGGCCTACTATAGCTACTCCCCCCCACCACACCCAGTCCAAGAAGAGGTCTGCAAACCCACAGTTTGAGGAGTGGTCTACTAAACCCCCATCCCCCTACACAGTCCAAGTTGGGCTGGGCACATTCTGACTTTTAAAAAAACGTTCCGTTCCATTCTAGAATGAGGGCCTTCAGCTAAATTGTTCTGTTCTTGTTCTGTTCCGTTCTGAGTAGAAGAACAGTCTACTCGTTCTGTTCTGTTCTTGGCGTTCTTAGTTGAAGAACATTGCATCCCCCGTTCTGTTTTTCAGTAATGAACACTTCATCCAAAAGTTTTATGGAAAAGAGTTGGTTAAAAGTAAAAAAAATACTATTGTAGTATTCTCTTACTACAAAAAAGATGCAATAAATTGATAAACTTAAATTAGCAAACTTTGATAAGATCACACTTCAAGTTATGTAACTTATATAGGATCAATTATCTTTGTAACCTGAAAACATTGCACATCGGGTTATCTCCTTCATTTGGAGCTAACCCTTATACAATTACTTATTTTTTGCAACCTGGCAACATTATACTTCGGGCTATCTCCATCACGCGGAGTAAACCTTTATATAATTACTTGCTTGTGCAATAATTAACACCCAAAGTAATAAACATGCTTTCATTAATGTTGTTACATTTATTTACATATTCATAAATGCATACATACTATAATATGGAGATAACTAGATGGTTTAATGATCAGCCATGGTTCCTTTACAACTTAGGTTCCTTCTCTATTCCTTAAATCTATTAAATCTATTAAATCCTGGAGCAAACCTCCTCCCTACTTGCTTTGGGATAAAGGCTCCTGCTCCCAGGCCTTCCTTGTGTCCCATGCGTTAACGTTGGGATCTACAAGGGGCTCTTGGGTGCTTGTGTCCTCCAGAGTAGAGGACACCATACTCTCAAGCTCCTGGTTCAGCTCTGCTAACCTATCCATCACCTCCTTCATGGTTCGCACCAGGACATCAGTATCCTCATCCATATC